GCCCTAACTTTACTCAACAATTACAGCAACAACCATAACTGACTCAACAATTACAGCAACAACCGTAACTGACTCAACAATTACAGCAACAACCATAACTGACTCAACAACCGTAACTGACTCAACAATTACAGCAACAACCATAACTGACTCAACAACCATAACTGACTCAACAACCGTAACTGACTCAACAATTACAGCAACAACCATAACTGACTCAACAACCGTAACTGACTCAACAATTACAGCAACAACCATAACTGACTCAACAATTACAGCAACAACCATTACTGACTCAACAATTACGGCAACCATACCACAAGCAGAACAGCAGCATCTCTACCACTACCACCAGTGACAGCAACGGCAACTGAATGATAACAGAACAGCAACTACAACTATAACTATAACCAATAACTTGAAGAACACCAAAACATACTCGATCTGTGATGCGCTTGAGCTCCACTGGCTCATTCATACTGACTCATACTCCTGGACTTTTAAAAATAAAACATAATGATGATGACATGGACCCAAATGGGTGAAATATTGATATTGCATATATATACACACACATATTTAAAATTATTTAAACTATCGCTGAAACCAAGAGAAAAGCCAACAGGCTGCACACATCCTTTTACAAGTGGAAGTGGAGTTTTTGAATACTCAAAATGTGGCTCACTTTTCTTTGCCAGAATGGGTCTCATTGGACACCGCAGAAGCCACCTTTATTTCGCTTTAGAATAATTATTCTCTGCGGATGCATTTGACAACGTCGGACGTTGACAGACGAACTATTATTATTGTTATTGTTTTGATTATTATTATTATTATTATTATTATTATTATTATTATTATTATTATTGTTATTACTATTATTATTATTATTATTATTATCATTATTATTATTATTATTGTTGTTATTATAATAATTGTATTATTATACTTGTTATTATTATTATAATTATTTATTATTATTATTACTATTGCTATTTTTGCTATTATTATTATTATTATTATTATTATTATTATTATTATTATTATTATTATTATTATATCTGAACTCGACTGGATCAGTGATGTGTTTTTTTGTTACATCTACTTGATCAGCAGATGGAGCCCCGGGCAGATGGAGCTCGAGAGCCTTGACAGGCAATTCCTCTAGGAGAAGGACACTCTGACCACAAACCCACAAGTGCTAGGCGTGCTGAACAACTTTACGTGCGAGACCCTGGGTCCATGGTCATGTTTAGAGCAACTTGCTGCTTTGTCCTTGGGGAGGTGGGGCTTGTCTACCTACTGACACAAAAGACTGCATCCGGCGGATGGCGCGGAAGAAACCACTTGACTGGTTCAACGGGCAGAAAGGCGGATACAGCAAAGCGCCGTGGAGCGCAAACAGGGCGCAGTTAGACACCTAGGACGCTGCTGGCCATCCACTGCATCCCTTCTCATCTCCAGCCGTCTTGACTTTGTCTTGCCACTGGACCCAGATGGGCCGGGACGAGAGAGTGAGGCTGACGACCATGCACAACTCTCCCTCACTTTAATCCAACTCACGCGCAAGTCATCTTCATCAACTTCATCCTTCCCCTCCCCCCTCCGCCATCATCAACTTTTCCAAGCCCTGTGGCGTTGGGCGAGCGACGAAGCAGCAGGTGTGGATACACTGGGAGCTGTAGACGCAGACCTGCACACAGGCGGCTCAGGCCATATGGTCGTCTTTCACTTGAACCGAGGCAAGAGCGAGATTCGGCAGCCCTCTGAGCGACTGAGCAGCCCTTTTTAGGATCGCACTGCTCACCTCCATAGCATGAGGAGCGGACTAGAAAAGGTGTCCCAAAAATTGCTTGCCTCACCTACCCTGGCCAGCACGCCGCGGCTGGCGGGGATCCCACACCAGCGGTAAGAACAACAAGAAGCAAAAGATCAAGATGAAGCCATTCATCTTTGGCACATGGAATGTGCGCACCCTACTTCTGGTTACCAATACAGTGTTCCGTCTCCCTGCCCGTAACAGGACGTCATGGGTGCACCCCCGCTCTAAGCACTGGCACCTTATCGACTATGTCATCGTCAGGCAAAGGGATAGACAGGACGTCAGAGTAACCAAGGCCATGTGTGGTGCAGAGTGTTGGACGGACCATCGCCTCATCATTTCAAAAATAAACATCAGGATACTTCCCAAGCGACGCCCCCAGGGGAAGCCAGCACCCAAACGACTCAACGTTGTAAGCCCGAAGAAGCAAGCAGTCAGTACAGAGTTAAAAGAGACCCTGGAAGAAAGAGCACAACAAATTCAGATATCTAACAACGTTATAGCGAGTTGGGAAGCCTTCCGAGACGAGGTCTATAGAACAGCCTATGAGACTATCGGCCAGACCAAACGCAAGCACCAGGACTGGTTTGATGAAAACAATGACGAAATAAATAACCTTCTGGAGGAAAAATACAGGATCCAAAGAGTTCTTGAAAACAACAAATCCCCTGCAAACCAAGCTGCCCACAACAACATTCGCAGTACAGTCCAGCAGAAACTACGACAAATGCAGGACTCATGGCTAAAGCAGAAGGCTGAAGAGATCCAAAACTACGCTGACAAGAAAGATATGAAGCGTTTCTATGATGCCATCAAAACGGTGTATGGACCTCAACCAGCGAGCTCATCTCCATTACTGAGCGCGGACGGACAAAAACTGCTGACAGAGAAGGCCCGCATTCTTGACAGATGGGCTGAGCACTTTGATGCTGTCCTAAATAGACTCTCCCACATCAACGAGGAGGTTATCAACAGACTGCCCCAAAACACTATCAACTTTAACATGGGCAACCCTCCAACACTACCGGAACTAGAGAAAGCCATCCATCAGTTATCTTCTGGCAAGGCTCCAGGTGCTGATGCAATCCCAGCAGAGGTATACAAGCATACTGGACCACTGCTGCGCAACAAGCTGAACCAACTGATAAACGTCATATGGGACCAGGAAATTGCCCCCCAGGAATTCAAAGATGCGTCTATCATCCACCTTTACAAACGGAAAGCCAACAGACAGGTGTGCGACAATCACAGAGGCATCTCTCTCCTCTGCATAGCTGGAAAAATTCTCGCAAGGATTCTCCTTAATCGACTCATCGATCATCTTGAGCAGGGCCTACTCCCAGAGAGCCAGTGTGGATTCAGGAAAGAGCGAGGTACCACCGACATGATATTTGCTGTACGCCAGCTGCAGGAAAAGTGTCAGGAACAAAATGTCGACCTATACACAACATTTGTCGATCTCACCAAAGCATTGGACACCGTCAGTCGCGACGGTCTCTGGAAGATCATGAGCAAGTTCGGATGCCCAGTCAAATTCATCCAAGTGGTCCGACAGCTTCACGATGGAATGCAAGCACAAGTTCTTGACGACAGAGAATCTTCCACTCCCTTCCCTGTCACAAACGGAGTGAAACAAGGCTGTGTTCTTGCCCCAACACTGTTTAGCATGCTGTTCTCATCTATGCTTACAGATGCCTTTCGAGAAGCCAACCCAGGCATGGACATCCGATACCGAACTGATGGGAGGCTATTCAACCTCAGAAGACTGCAAGCCAAAACAAAGGTCCATGTTGACAAGCTAAGAGACTTCCTCTTTGCTGATGACTGTGCCTTGAACGCTGGAAGTGCGGAAGATATGCAGCACTCCATGGATCTGTTCTCCAATGCATGCAGCAACTTCGGACTCACCATCAGTACGAAGAAGACAGAGGTTATGTATCAGCCTGCACCGAAAAACCCCTACCAAGAACCTACTGTGACAGTGAACGGGCAGAAGCTAGCAACTGTGGACAAGTTTGTGTACCTAGGCAGCACTCTTTCTTGCAGTGTGCACATCGACGATGAGACCCATGCTAGAATCGCAAAGGCGAGTTCTGCGTTTGGACGTCTACGTTCGTTAGTGTGGGAACGCAAAGGAGTGAGCCTATCGACCAAGCTCAGTGTCTACAAAGCCATTGTCCTCACCACACTACTATATGCAAGCGAGACCTGGACAGTATACCAGAGGCACGCCAAGAAACTCAACCGATTTCACATCAACTGCCTCTGCAAACTGCTCAGAGTGAAGTGGCAGGACAAAGTCCCAGACACTGAAATCCTTGAGCAGACAGGTATGTCGAGCATCTTCACAATGCTCCGAAAGACACAACTCCGCTGGGCTGGCCATGTAGTCAGAATGCCAGACGAGCGTCTGCCAAAACGCATCCTATATGGAGAACTTCAGACTGGAGCACGCTCCCATGGAGGTTAGAAGAAGCGGTTTAAAGACACCCTGAAGGCCTCTCTGAAAGACTTCGGCATTGACCACAACTCGTGGGAAACGACAGCCCAAAACCGTGTAGCCTGGCGTGGAGCCATCAGCAAGGAGCGGCAGCGTATGAATCACGGCGTCTGGAAACAGCGAAGAGCAAGCGCGCAACAAGAAAGTCCCGTGCAAGCAGTGCTCCCGCAATTCATGACCCTACAGCGCTACCTTGCCCTCACTGCCCAAGGACCTTCAAGGCGAAGATTGGCTAAATCAGTCACCTGAGGACCCACCCCACCCCCCGGATATGATGAAGAAGGTCTTCTTCCCTCAGGAAGGACGAACACCACACAACAAAAACTAAACCATCAGTGTCAATCTACAGCCACTTAGGCTGTTACTTTTTGACGTTTTGAGAAATTTAAAGTAAGAGAGAGAGAGAGAGAGAGAGAGAGAGAGAGAGAGAGAGAGAGAGAGAGAGAGAGAGAGAGAGAGAGAGAGAGCACCAAAATCAAAACCATCACTTGTTCACTGTTCACTCGTATTTCCAGTAAAAGCAAACAAACAAGCAAAACAAACAAAGGAAATAACGAAACAAAACAAAACAAAACTATCATTATCGTAAGTTGCCTCTTGACGTCATAATTAGAATAGCGGGCTTTATCTAGAGACCCCAAGACACTTAATAATTGGACCATTGAAGAGTAATCTTACCTTTGTCGGCTCGGCATTGGCGTGTATGTGCTAGCTCCCACTGGCTTTTAGCCTGCACTTCTCAAAAAGTAGGCTGTAGTAACAATGACTCACATTATTTTCCTGTAGTGGACCTGTAAAACTCCCTGGAATCAAATACAAGTGACAGTAAGTTTAGTTTTAGTTAAGAGTTTTACGACACTTGAGGCACACTAAGGTCATGTAGGCTAAGTTCCGAAGAGTAGGGGTATTACAAGAGAGTAACAAACAAAAAAGGAGGATGAGAGATAAGGACGATAGATCTTTGATAGGAAAGAAGGAGCTCACCACACCATGGCACCCGCCAACAACTGGAGGGAGTCACGACCAGGTTAGTTTTAATGTTTAAAATGGCAGTTTCTTTATCAGTCAGTGGTATCAGTTGCACGTGTAGAAGAAATTTGTGTGCGTGTCGAAATACAAATTCTAAATGTTGAAAAACAAACAAACAAACAAACAAATACCCTCCCACAAAATTTAGGTACAATAATTGTTAAAAGTATGAAACAGTTTTTTCTCTCTCCTGTAAAGTTTTGCTTTCCGGGCTTAGTATGTTTTAACAGCTTGTCTACTACATAAAACTAACAGCTTCCAGGAAGGAAGGAAGGAATGCATAGATCAATTGCTCGCAGGTCGGCATGTTTGCTTGTTCCCTCAGGTAGAAACGTGCTGTGGAGCCAGGTGTAAATTCAGCACACGAGAGAATCAATTCTGACGTGGACGTAGCGTTGGTCGATATTTCGCTACCCCAGAATTACAAAATTCTATCTGCTCAGAACAAACTTAGTTTTGAGAAATGGGACGTCAAAGATTTTGAGTTCACAACATATCAAGCTGTTTCGAATGCAATTCTTTGAAAACGACTCCGAATTATCTGACGATTTTGGTAGAGCTGATAGAACATTGGGATTCTGACCTCATGTCAGATACAACTTTTGTAAAATTATGAGGTAGCGACTTGCCCTCCCCCCCCCCTTTTTTTCGGAGAGGGGGCAGTTGTCATGAAGCAAGACGACGAACAAGACATACCTGAAAGCTGGTCATTATTAACTCGTGAAGGACGCACAATCTGGCCATTCGACAACACTTGAAGATGCGCTGTTTTGGGGGCATACCTTCATTATTTGAACAGATTTTTTCATTTTGTTTTCTTTACCCGAAATCTTAAAAGGTACAGACTTCACAGAACGTCGAGTTGTGAACTAAGTACAGACGGATTAACGTTTATTTACAAGCGCCTTGTATATACATGTGCGCATTGATAATAAGCTTAAAACAACATTAGTTTAACTGGACTACTTTGCACGTAGATGTCGTGTAACTAAGTCGCTACATTACCCCCCCCCCCTTCCCTACCCCCCTCAGCGTAGTACACGGACAACTGTGAACATAGCGAAATGTTCGGGATTGAATTAACATGACGATCGTTCTGGTAAATGGTCGCTTTTGTATTTTGAATTCACAACGTATCAAGCTTTTTCGAATGCACAAGGGGGCTATCCTAAAAATTGATGTTTAGGGAAAATCGAAGGTAAAGTTTGGCCCATTGTTCAGTTTCTTTAAAAGACGAGGAGAGTTTTCACTAAAACCAAACAAATATACACACCAATGAAACCAAACTTCTCCTTTAGGTAGAGCAATGCCAACTTTTGGTGTAGGTCAAGATTTCTGGAAACCCCCGAAATCTGGGTTAGCCCGCTTGTCCTTACAAGCGACCAACTATGAACATAGGGAATTGCCAAGGATTGAATTAACATGACAATCCTTCTGGTAATCGTGCTATAGGCCCTACTCGACCAGAGAGAGTAACTAAGTCGCTAGTCGCTACAATCTGAATGAGCAGATAATCGGCGACATCCTGTATTTCACTGGACGCTATTTCCTGAATGGCTCTCTCTCTCTAACTGCGTCCGATTGGCCTGGCCAACTGTACTCAGTCTGAGATGAGCCCACCCGAAAGACATTTTTTTAGTTAGCGTTTTACTGCACTTGCAACACAATTAGGTCATATATAAGTGTCGAAGATTAGAGTTGTTACAAGAGAGTAACAAACTTAGAAAAGAAGGAGAGATTAATTATAAGGAAGGTAGTAGTTTAATGAAAAGAAGGAGCAAACCACACCAGAGCACCGACCACATGCACAAACGCTCTCTTGCCCTCGGGGGCTCCATTTGGTTAAAACAAAGATTCGTGCGTGCACGTGAGTGTGTTTGTGTGTGTGTGTGTGTGTGTGTGTGTGTGTGTTTGTTTGTGTGTGTGTGAGCGTGTCGTGTGTGAGCGTGTATACTTGTTTTGTTTATGTGTCTGTCTCTGTGAGCG